CCTCACAGGATAACATCACTATAAAAATGAAAATAATTTCTCCCTCCCCCAAGAGGTTGTAAGTGTAGGCAGCCTGCCAAAAGCTCAATTTTTGATCATGTGACTGCAGGGTCATTGCAATGGCCATTATAGCAGGGTCCAGGCATAAGTACAAGTTAGGCTTTGAGTTATAACACATCTGGGCCTCAAACTTATATTGCTAAGGGAAACTTTTGTTAAGTGAATTGCTGTCCTAAATATGAACCACTTGCCAAACACCTGAGTTTTGATCATGAGGCCATGGGGATGCTGCAACAGTCATAGGTCACTTTTTTCAGTGTCGTCGTAACTTTGAACAGTCACTAAATGAACTGTTGTAAGTCGAGGACTACTTGTACTATTTGTTCAGGGCTGCCATAACTTCGAACAGCTGAGTGAATGGTCATTAACTGAGGAATCTATGTATTTTAACCTTTTCACATTTGGTTGTTTTTTTAATTGTTATGACCCTGCCCAGGGTTACTTCGGTGAGATGGGTGGCTATACAAATTTGAATATGTAAAATAATGTAATATCCATATATCTGTTTGGTCTCAGAGCTTAAGAAAATGAAGAGATCTGTGTATATAATTCTAAATATGGCGTATTGTATGTTGGAAAAGTCTGCTTTAGGACCATTATTCAATTTCAATTAAGAAATCATCAGAAAAAGAAGAAAAAGATCTCCATTAATTCCATCAAGCAAATTTGATTAGGAACATTCTTAATGCCAATCACAAAACTTTTTTTCCTGTTCTATATAGCTGAGATGCCAGGAAGTTAATGCAATTTTTCACAGTATTGATTATCTCATATTGTTTTATTCTGGGCTTCCATTTGTTGGTTAGAGACTTTGTTTTGGATCTGCTTAAGGGTGTTATTAGTCTCCGTAGTTGTTGATGAAGAAAAGAGACAGACTCAGGATTTCCTGCAACGTAAAATTATAAATTGTCTTGAAGATTTTCTCCTGCTTTTGAAAGAACAGATGGGATGACACAGCTGGAGCTGCAATAGAAAATTTCTTGGCTTTAGTTGACATAATAAGAGCAAAGCAATCAGTTATGGTGAAATATTACAATATAAACATCCTTAATTTACCAGATTGATGAAATATTGTACAGGCAGTACAGGATTTAATGTAGTTTAAGGAGAAAATAATCAAAAGAGGAGAGACATGAGTTCACATCATTATCTCCAACCAAAAGTCCTACATTTATGGAAATGTACAGTGGGTATTTCACCAAAATACATGTGACAGACCATCTTATTTCTGAAGTCTGACAAGGATTGCAGAAGGAAGAGGAATACAAGGCACCTTACAAGTCACATGGTAACACTTGCAAGTTTGCTTCACACGCAGCGAATCTGTATATTTCAACTGTTATGTTTTATTCAGAGCAGGTGTGTGTGTGTGTGTGTGTGTGTGTGTGTGTGTGTGTGTAACAAGTGACTAACTATCCTGGTAAAATAGTCCTGTTTGTCCAGTTCTTTTCTAATGGCAAATATTTGGAGCATGTATGAAGATTGGTATTCCTTTTCCAAATGTGCATTAAACCAGATTATGAGCCTGCCAGTTCTATATTGAATTAGATACATCTAAATACATTTACATCAACTAATTTAAGCATGCCTGTTTCCGGTCTGCACAATAGCCTTAAAGCATAGATTTCTACTGTAGCCATACGAACATGTTTTGCAGCAAAGAGAGAGGCAAAAATATTACGATGAATGGAATTTAAGACAAGAGATCATAAAAAACTTCCAAAGACCATGCATAGCAGGTCATTTCTTTAATTTCCAAATACACTCTAGTCTAAAGAGAAAAAGTTGTACTGAAATTAGGGCGGGGGCGTTTCCCTTAATAAAACCACATTCAGTAACTAGGTGTTCTTGAAATCCACTGTCCAACAAGCATCTATAACTCTGCTATCATAATCAGAGATAAAGACTAAATTAAAGGTTCAAGAGCATTAGGCGAGGGAAAGCTAGAAAAGACTTATTGTAATCCAAACTTTAGATAAGCAGTTCACATAATGGCTTATGCAACTAACCTGCTTTGAGGATAAGAGACAATCACATCCTCCTTCTAAAATAAACCTTCTTGGTGCCTCAGATTCTTAAAAACACCCAGAGCAGGAGCAACAGTATCTTTTCCTGAGCATATTATCAATAAATTGCCTTTCATCCCTTGTACCACAAACATGTCTTGGCAACTATTTTTTCTGTTGTATCCTCAGGACCTTCTTTTTAGCTGATCCTCAGCACATAATTGAGGCACCTTTAGCTGTGCATAGCTACTTTCTGCCTTATTTTAAACCATCTAGGGCATATAAAATCCATTAAGCTTTGTCATCCACTACCCTAGAGGGAAATCAGAGAGTGGTTGGGAACGGAGAGAATAGAGACCTGATCAGAATCAGCAGTGGGGGATAGTCAATTCCATGTCAAAGTAGCTGTTTATTCCAAAGATGACTGGAGAGCACTTGAAGAACTATTGATGGGAAAATGATCCTGGTGAGAAAAGAATAGGGTGAAATGGGCCTACTCTCGCAGAAAGGGATCTTGGCACATTGTGGCATACAAAATTTACCAGCAGGGCCTGTTTGGAATTTCTTTCCACATGGCACATGCTTAAAAAGGAACCCCGATTATGCCAGCAACCTTCTGGAGGCTTTGCAGCTCCTGCTATGCTACTTCCCCAGGAAAAGCGAACAGCGGGAGAGGTTACTTTGCAAGCCCATCATCTTGCAGTGAGCAAGTGAGCTAGCCAAGTAAGCAAAATGGAAATGATTCTTATAAACAGGGCAGATACATAGATCCAAGTTAAATCTGATGGCAGTGTAATAGCAAATACTGTATCGCTGAGAAGCCAGTATTTATTTTGTGCTCCTTTCTTGTGTCTGTTTTGCTTGATTCAGCTATATAATCTGGGACAGATATTTAGGTCACAGTTTTTGAAGTGACCGTTCTTTTGTTCATTTCAATTACTGTTACTGACCAAGTTTATATGCTGCTCTATGCTCCTCCATTAAGGATCAACTCAGCTTCATCAAGTTCCATATGTCCATCTTTGATCTCTTCATCTCTTTTTGGATCTGTCCTCAAGTTTATATCATTTTAAAAATCTGGAGCTCGATTTGTGAACCTATTTCTTTGGTCAAGTGTAGAATCTAATTCTACAATTGTTGGTGAAAATTCTGAGAAAGGAACTCTGCACACATACTATTTGCTTAACATAATAACCTGTTCTGGGATTGAGCTTTAGCACAAAAACACTTCCCGGTGAGCTTCAGTCTTATTTTGTTTCCCTTCCAAGCATGTTGAGTTCTTAGATATCTCAGCTAAAGGCTTGCTGTGTACTGGGCGCCCGTGGAGAAGGCCTGACATCTCATTCATGAATATTTGAATCTGCTTTCATTCATGTCCTTGCATCCTCACATGCTGAGATCCATAACTTCAATTTAGCGATGAAATGTGCTCCGCCGCGTGTGGATAAGAATAGCTCCATGTCAGTCCATCTCAATGGAAGCTGCCCAGATTTTTGTCTCACTGCAGGAGGAGGCATGGAAACAGCAGACCTTAGCACTCGCACATTTGTGTGGAAAGGCAACCATGTGCTTAGCCATTTGGGGGAGCACCTGGTTGTACAAGCCAGTCAGCTGTCCCTGATTCTGGGTTTTTGTCATTATCCTTAGGTATTTGTGAGAACTGAAGAGAAAGCCACTGCCTCCGAGATCTTGCCGCTGCCTTCTCTTTTAGGAGAAAAGGAGGCAGTGATATTTATCAGCAAGTCATTTTGTGCAGGAGACATTCATTCTTAAGGGAT